CGAACCCACCAAACCCTTCAGCCTCAACAGGTCTCTCGGAGGTAACTCCCGTGCAAATGTAGAAAGCAAAAGAAAAAAACAGAAAAGAAAGACAGTTTTACCAAGGCTTTCTGACCTCCAGCAGCAATTCATCCACTGAGTCAACAGGAGTACACAGGTGAGCCAAATCTTGCCCCCCCCCCCCACCCCACAAATCCCCCCTTTGACGTTTTTGCTTTTTGCCCTCCATTTTTTGTGCGAGCGAAGCCGCAACAGGTACCCTTGTTGATTGTTAATTTGTTTTTCTTTCATCTTCGTGGAGGAAAGTGTCTTTTTTCTCTTTTTTTGGTGCTAGTGTATCCTCTCCTGAGTCCTCGATCTCCCACCCTTATGTTTTTCTTGTCCGCCGCTACTGATTAAGCCCAAGTTTTTACGATGCAAAGAAAAAACAACTTTCTTTTTAATTATTTTTTCTGAGCATCTGAGTGGAGCTGCGATAGGGTAGCCATTTTCAGACGAGATGATGCAATCCCACATCATCACGTCTTCTAGAATTGACAGGGTGTCTTGTTTGTGCTTACAGGTGTTGTCCCTTCAAGCTGTGCCATCCCCACCAGAGTCATTGCTTCTGCTCGAGGTTGCACCCTCGGGAAGTGGAGGTGATGATGTAGGAGAAGGAGATCACAGGGGTGGGTTGTTTCTGAATGCTGGACTGCAAAATGGAATCCTTCTCAGGACGGAGGTTGACAGTGTGACTGGCCAGCTGTCAGATACGAGAACACGATTCCTTGGGCTCCGTGCGCCAAAGCTCTTCGCAATGTCTGTGCGCGGCCGAAGGGCAATGCTGTGCCTGTCAAGCCGACCCTGGCTCGGTTACATCCATCAGGGACATTTCATGCTTACCCCGCTGTCGTACGAGATGTTGGAATATGCGTCTTCGTTCTCATCGGACCAGTGCCCGGAAGGTGTGGTTGCTGTTGCTGCGGATGTCCTCCGTGTTTTCACGATCGAAAGGCTAGGAGAAACGTTCAATCAAACGGTTGTTCCCTTGAGATACACTCCGAGGAAGTTCGTCCTGCACCCAAAGCACAAGACCATGGTTATTCTGGAAAGTGACTTAGGTGCCTTGTCAGCAGAAGAGCGCGCAGAGTTGAAGAAGCAAGCGGTTGAAGCGAATGCAGGTTTGGGGCAGGGTGACGAGGAAGCGGCGCTGGCAGATGAAGACCAGGAAATGGTGGAACAGCAGGACGAGAGGAATGAGGATGATGGCGAAGACGAAGATGGTTCCATGCATGAAAAGGAAGAGAATGGGAAATTGAAGGAGGCCGATGGAGATGAAGACAAGGAGGATGGAGATGAGCGAGCAGAGGAAACAGATGGTATCGAAGATGAAGGCGATGAAGAAGAGGAGGAGGGGGAGGACGAGGAGGAGGAGGATGAAGATGATGACTGGGATGAGGATGAAGAGGAGAGGAAGCAGAAGAAGGAGCAGCGGAGGAGAGAGCGGAAGGAGAAGAGAGCAAGGGAGAGGAAAGAGAGGAGGGAGATGGAAAGGAAGGCGAGAAAGGTGGCTGAGAAGGAGGAGGATGAGAAGGAGGGGGCTGAGAAGGAGGCTGAGAAAGAGGCAGAGAAGGAGGCGGAGAAGGAGGAGAAGAGAAAGTTAGCAGACACAGAGAAGGGACAAGGTTCTGAGGATGATGAAGACAAGGAGGAGGAGGAGGAGAAGGCGACATCGGAGGATGGGGAGACGAGGGAGAAGACGGAAGAGAGAGAAATCGAGGAGAAACATGAAATGCCCGGAACAGCGAAGGAGCAGCAGGAAGATGAGGATGCGGAAGGGAAGGGCGAGGAGGACGACGACGAGGAAAAGGAGGACCCTTTGCCAGATGAGCAGTTTGGCTACCCAAAAGCGGAGTCCGGGAAGTGGGTTTCCTGTATTCGTGTGCTCGAGCCTAGTTCGGGGGAAACGACCTGCTTGCTCGAGCTGGTTGATAATGAGGCTTGCTTCAGTGCTGCTCTCGTCAATTTCGCAACCAGTCCTGAGTCCGGCCCATTGCTCGTCGTCGGAACAGCCAAAAGACTGGAATGGTTCCCCAAACGCAAATGTGAAGGCGGGTTCATTCATGTGTACAAGTTCACGAAAGCTGGGAAAAACTTAGAGCTCCTGCATAAGACACAGGTGGAGGGTGTCCCAACTGCACTGTGCCCTTTCCAAGGACGCCTCCTCGTGGGCATTGGCTCGATCCTTCGTGTATACGACCTTGGAAAGAAAAAACTGCTCAGAAAGTGCGAGAACAAAAACTTCCCCAACACAGTCATGTCTATACACACATACGGTGACCGAATTTATGTCGGCGATATGCAAGAGGTAGGCTCTTCTTCTTCTTCTTCTTCTTCTTCTTCTTCTTCTTCTTCTTCTTCTCTTAAATTGTCGAACTGAGCGGCTGCAGGTAATTCATAATCTTTCAAGTTCATTCACCTACCGTCTTCACCCGAATACAGCGTACGATCATTATAGCTGTACTTGGGGCAACTTTCAGTCTAGATACAGCAATAATGACTGTACGTTGTATTCGGGTGAAGACGGTAGTGCCCTCTGGGTACGAACTCAGGTCCGTATTTTGATAGTTCATCTGTGTACCAACTGACCTAGGGTCGTTGGTTGCAAGAGGCAGGTTCTAAAATTCTGATGAAATGAATCCCATTCTCTTCGAGATGTTGCGACCTATGTAGACCCCCGTACGAATATGGGCCGTACGTACGTACGTACGGGCTCATGTGGTAGTACGGGCCGTATGTGCAAAAAAAAGCAATTTTTTTTTTTTTTTAATCTGAAAAAAAAAATGTTATGCAGAAAAATAAACTGAAACACTTTTGCCTCAGGGTCATATTGAAATTCGTTACCAAATTTGAGATAAAAAAACAGAACGATTCCTTTTTTTTTTTTTTTTTTTTTCCGTATGGGGCTGTACATACGGCCGTACGGCCATTCATACGGCCGTACGATAAACCCCCCGTACGTCGTACGGAGTGTTACACAGGTTGCAACCTGATCAGGAAAAAATGTCATAACATCATATCACGGCAAACAACATCAAATGATGAATGGCAGCGCGTGCTGCCTTCCCTGAAACATTTCTTGTAAGACGAACCGCTTTTCGGATTGGGCGCTGCTTCAACATCCATGACGTTTCGTCTTTGGATAGGCCGCGTCTTCACCGTCCATCCATGGGGTTCCTACTGTATATGTAGCCTATCAGCCGGGCCGCTCGGGTCACCTTGTTTGCCCGGACGGCCCCGCCGAGCAAGGGCCAAAGAAGAACGTCCCAGCAAAAAAAA